AGGGTGCCCAGGATGGATCCTTTGCCAGCCCTGGATGGGACGATCTTCCTCACGCGAGCTGCCTCTGCCAGGACGTGCTGCCCAGCAGGTGGGCGGCAAGGGGAAGGCAGCTGGGTGAGCCGCGTCTGCAACGACCCGCAGAACCGGCTCCTCGTCCCACCAGCAAAGGAGGAGCCCCAGGCTGGCTGGGGAGCGACGCCTGGGCGAGGGGCAGGAAACACCACCGGGGCCAGCACATCGTCCAGGTGGGGACGAGAACGCTGCGGGGCCAGATCCTCCCCTGGCCCCATTAGCCAGAGCTCCGGGGCTGCCAAGGAGCCAGGCGGATTCCCCCCCGTGGGGTGTTCGGGGCTAGGCAGGGAGCCGGGACGTAGCCCGGCTGGCAGGGCTTTGCGCCCACAGCTACGAGCCGGGGTACGGTTCCGTGTCTAGATCTACAGGCCCCATCCTCGGGGGCCGCCGCTGGTTTGTGTCGCCAAGCGCTCGCCCCGGGGGAAACCGGAGGCGGAGCTGAGAGCAGCTGGCTCTCTGGGGGCGGGGGTTCGCAATGGAGGAGGGGGGCTGTTTTCTCTCCAACGAGGGTCCTTTCAGATCATTCAACAGCCCCTGGCGTATGGGCAAGGTGGGCACGCAGGGCTCTGCCATGGGGCCAGGAATGGGTGTGTGTGTAGTGGGGGGGGTAGACTCCATGCATGGCCCCCAGCATGGGGCCGGGAACACCTCCCCTATGCATGGCCCCCGACAGGAGGGTGGGGGTTGCAGTAAGTCCCCGAAATAGTGGGGGAAGAGAGGGTTCACACCAGGAGCGGGGGAGGGAGTGACACTGGGTGTGCATAATGAGGCCAGCCTGCAGAAGCTGTGACGGGCGTGGCCCTTGAGTAGAAACAACCCAGGCATCTTGACTCCCATTTTCCTGCTGTAACCACTGAGTCTCACTCTCATCCCGAGCTGGGAGCAGAAGCCAGGAGTCCCGGCGCCCAGTTCTTGGCTACACCCCTAAGTCACACTGCCTCCCCCTCAGCATCGACACAGCCGAGCACCCCGGAGCAGCTGGGCAGCCCAAAGGAGCCTTGCTAGGAAAACCCAACAACACCCAGCTCAGCCCGAGCTTCCCAGCCTGGGCAGCGTGGCCTGCAGAAGGGGGACTGCCCCCCACACTAGCCACAAAGGGAATCGTCCTGGGAGCAGGTGCTTTGTACCAGCTGTTCTTTGCTAGTCATGAATTCAGCACAGCGCCTGCTCCCGCCCCTGCCTACAGCTCATCATCCTCGCCAGAAAATGCCTCCAGACAGCTGCTGCTCGCAGCCCAGATTTTACCCTGCATGCCTCTAAACGGGGAGCGAGAGTAAAAGGCTCTTAAGGAGGAAGGGGGTCAGGGCTCAACTTAGTGAGGGGGGGGGGAAGGGAGGGTTAAAGCATTAAAACTCAGCTAGACTGAAAGATCCAGGCAAGTTCTTCACTTCCCGTCCCAAACGGCTGTAGTGTTTCTAGGAGTTAACCGCTGCTGTGCCCCACCCCAGAGGTGGCTGCATTTCCCTGCTAAGGGATCAATCTATGTACAGTACTGCATGCAATGTCGAATGGCTGCTGCCTATTGGGGTACGTGCAGGGATCCCCGCAGATAGAGCCTGCAAAGGATGAAACTTATCACATCAGAACCACCACCCTCTGCGTCTAGACCAGGGGTGTCCAAACTTTTTTCAAAGAGGGCCAGATTTGATGAAGTGAACATGCGTGAGGGCCGACCATTTTGCCTGACATTCTTTGAACCATTAAAATTAAATGCAAATTAACTATTTTATGCAAAGTTTATTGCAAACGGCATACTTTTCATTTCGTCACATGGATGACAAATCTAAACAGGTGTTAAATCCCTCTGCCTTTCATATCTGAAGGCCAGATGGAAAAAAATCCAGGAAGCTGAAATATACGTCAGGAACATTGTAAAGTACATTACATATTATTGGTAATAAAGGTTGTCTGTCAACTTTTAAGTTCAAAAAATATGAACAGGAACATAACACCAAGTATACATGTTGTGTCCAAATATATTTATAACTGATTTAGACCAACTGACATTAACTGAGATTTTACAATGTATTCATCTCAATACATATGGATTCGTTGGGGGCCATAAAAGATAGATATTGCCAAATTACCTGCGGGGCTGTATTAAACCGGAACATGGGCCACAATTGGCCCGCGGGCCGGACTTTGGACATGCCTGGTCTAGACGGTGGTTCTCAGCAGGATCGCAAAGCGCTTTGCAAATATCTATTAACTAGGATGAAGTTTAATAAGGACAAATGCAAAGTGCTCCACTTTGGAAGGAACAATCTGTTTCACACGTACAGAATGGGAAGCGACGGTCAAGGAAGGAGCACGGCAGGAAGGGATCTAGGGGTCAGAGTGGACCACAAACTAAATAGGAGTCAACAGTAGGACGCTGTTGCAAAACAAGCAAAAGTGATTCTGGGAGGCATTCACAGGCGTGTGGTGAGCAAGACACGAGAAGTCGTTCTTCCGCTCTACTCTGCGCTGGTTAGGCCTCAGCTGGAGTATTGTGTCCAGTTCTGGGCACCACATTTCAGGAAAGATGTGGAGAAATTGGAGAGAGTCCAGAGAAGAGCAACAAAAATGATGAAAGGTCTGGAGAACATGAGCTAGGAGGGAAGACTGAAAGAACTGGGCTTGTTTAGTTTAGAACAAGAGAAGACTGAGAGGGGACATGAGAGCGGTTTTCAAGTATCTGAAAGGGTGTTACAAGGAGGAGGGAGAAAAATTGTTCTTCTTGGCCTCTGAGGACAGGACAAGAAGCAAGGGGCTTAAATTGCAGCCAGGGAGGTTGAGGTTGGACATTAGGAAAAACTTCCTAACTGTCAGGGTGGTTAAACACTGGAATCAATTGCCTAGGGGGGTTGTGGAATCCCCATCTCTGGAGATATTTAAGAGCAGGTTGGACAAACACCTGTCAGGGATGGTCTAGACAGTGCTTGGTCCCACCATGAGGGCAGGGGACTGGACTCGGTGACCTCTCGAGGTCCCTTCCGGTTCTAGGATTCTAGGCTTTGCACACGCAGTATATTAGCTCTACGTCACTGAAGCTTGGGAAAAAATAACTTGCATCCTAAGAAGGCAAGAATTGAGGCAAGGAGTCGTGCAAGTCCACGACTCACCAAGCCCCATCTCCCCAACATCAGACCACTTAGCCTCCAATGCATTTGCCCTCACCCCCGGGAGACAGAGCAGTGTTGTTATGCCCAATGTCACAGGGGGAAACTGAGGCAGGGAAAGGTTAAGGGCTTCACCCAAGGTCACACAGGGCATCTGTGGCAGCGCGGTGATTTGAACCCATTTCTCGGTTAGCATCCAAGCCCCTGGAACATCCGTCTCGATATTCCGGGAGTCCTGCCTCCCTCCCAGACCCAGGGATACAGCGCAAGCGTCCTGGCTCTGAGCAGACTCTCCTCAATGTCGTTTTACTCACTGCTGTTTTTACACTCTTCTAGGGCCGGGCTTTACACCCGCTGAGGATGACGCCCCCGGAGCCCTGAGGTCCTCGGGGCTCTCAGACTTCCCCACATTGCACCAGCCTCCCTTTGGGGTGGGGGAAGGAGAAATCAACAGAAGGGGGGCAGGCCAGCGGCCGACATGCCGGGCGGGTACACAGACACTCTTCTGGGCCTTCCCAGATCTTAACCCACCGCCAGCTGAGCCACGCTGAGAAAGCGATTCTTCTGGGAAAGAAGCCAGGTTCTGGCTCACCAGGTGCACCTGACCCCAGAGGGCAGCAGGGGAGGGGAACGTCCCATGGGCTGGGCCGGCAGGACGCTGGAGACCCCAGTGGCGCACCCTCCCTTCCCCATCACACGGCCGGGGCCAGCCCACTCCCCTCCAAGCGTCTCCAGAGAGGGAAAGGCCCCATATCAGGAGAGTGGAGGTTTCTAGCCCTCCTCCAGCCTGCCGCGTACGGGCCCTGGGCTCCAGAAGCCGACCCCCCGGCCCTTTCCAGCGCCCAGCACAGAAGTGAGAGTGACTCTCCCGGCAACGATCTCTGAATGCCCACCTCAGCCCCCGGCCCCGGCCCTTCTCTGGGAAACGGAGCGGCGGGGCCGGGAGGAGCAGGAGACGCAGCGTGAATCCGCTGCACAGATCGGGGAGGGCAGGGCGTGGGGATCCCCTGCAGAGGAGTTGGGGGAGCCCAGGGCGACAGCAGATCCAGCAGCCGTTGGACCCTGCAGAACCAGGGGCCTGGCCCGTAGCAGCAGCTGCCAAAGGGCTGCACCAGGGAGGGTTCCTCCGTGGGCTGTGAACAGGGCGGGGTTAGAGTCCGGATCCCAGAGACTAGGTCGAGTTTGCTCCGGTCTAGGCCCAGCCGGTCCTGCCCCAGAGCAGGGGGCTGCACTCGATCCCTTCAGCCGGACAGTCCTGTGATTCTGTGGTGACACCCTAGCACAAGCCTCCCCTCTGTCCAAGGCCAAGGGCACCGAGTGCCACGTGCATGGGCAAGTAGGGAGTTTTGCCCTGCCCAGCTAAGCAGCGGGGAAGAGGCACCCCTACCGATGGCCCCCTCCGGTGCTCGGCGGCAGGGCGGTCTAGTGGCTAGAACACTGCGGGACGACTCAGGACACTGGGGGTCTGTACCCAGCTCTGCTGCGCGACCTTAGCAAGTCTGTGCCTCAGTTTCCCCACGGGTAGAATAGGAATTGTGATACCGCGCGGTGAGGCCTCTGGCTGGAAAGTGCTCCATTAGCCCAAGGGAGTCTCAGAACCAGAGCGAAAGCCTCAAGCAAACCCAACCGGCGGTTAAAAAACAAAACACCAGCCAATACCTGGGATACATGGAAAAGCTTGGCAGTTTCCGTTTCTCCTGTCCTTCACATCAGAGGACTTCGGACCTCTCAGCTGCAAAGAAAGAGAACAGATCAAGCTGGATTTAACCCTTTCCTTGCTAATACTCCAGGGCTAACGCACAGAACCAGCTGGCAACTTTCACTGTCTCTAGGGTAGAGGCTGCCTCTTTACCCTATGTCCATATAATGGGATCCTAACTAGTGCACTGCAAGGCAGATAATATTTAACCCTATCCTCTAGTTAATGATTTATTCCCACCTGCATTCCTGACTTCTGCCCCCATCCCCTCCACCCAGTCCTGACCATCTGAGAGCAGCTGGTCTCTGGGATTCTACGCAGGGTGTTTCCTTCAAGCCTCAACTCCTGGAGTCCTGAGATGACAGGAACATCCCAGTTTTCATATTTTTTTTTTAACTGAAAGGAAGCACCTGGGTCTGGTGGTTGCAGAAGAAAAAAAAAGCCACAAACCGTGGATTTGAAATGAGGAGGCGAAGAACAAGAAACCCAAACGGTTGTTTAGACGCGCCCGATTTTTACACTAACCTTGTGATTATTTCGGGATAGGGCTTGTGATTTTTTTCAATGCTTGGGGTTAGTTACAGGGGGATCTACACCTGTGGCTCTTAACTGGAACCAGAGAGCCCTTCCATTTACATTAATAAGGCAGGATGGTGACCACTCCCCCCCATGAGAGGCAGTGTGGTCTAGTGGAGAGTGCAGCGAACGATGGCTCAGGAAAGCTGAGTTTTCTAGTCCCTGCCCTGTGTAGCGATCTTGCCTGCCCTGTGCCTCAGATCTTAAGGCTGTTGTGTGGCGGTTGTTTAAACGGGATAAGGCAGTAATATTTTTAAAACTGGATACTTTTGGGTGGAGAGGTGATCAAAGCACAGGACTGGGAGCCAGGATACCTGGGTTCCCATCTCCAATCCAGACTCCCATCGTCTTTCTGGTTCAGTTTACCAGTTGAGGCAAACTGAGGCACAATGAAGTTAAAACGATTTTGCCCACGGCCCCGCAGCAATGTAGTGGTAGAGCTGGGAACAGATCAACAGACCCCCAATTTACCTCTCTCCCAGAGCCGGGAACAGAACTCAGGAGTCCTGACACCACCACAGCAAGGGCGAGATATTTTTCTAACAGAGCGAGCCGAGGAATTACTAGGGGCAAATTCTCTGGCCAGAAGCTGGATTAGATGGTTCCAGTGGTCCCTAGGAATCTGTGATTCTTGGCTAACCACGCTGCTATGCTGCCTTGGCTACGCCCCAGCTCCTCCGCAAGCCAGCCTCCTGACCACTTGAGCAAACAGAGCTAACGCCAGCCAAGAGCACAGGGTAAGATCGGAGTGCCACGCTACCAGTGAACGACATAGATTAGCCGGATCACAGCCTAAACGGCAACCAAAGGTTATCTAGCATTCTCGTTAAGCAGAGAAATAGCAAACAAAGTTGAGCTGTGGCAGCATACCTCCCTCTGTCCCCATCAGATAGCAAGCAGGAAACCTCCTTGAAGCTGTAAACAATCTCGAAGGGCCCCAAACGGTACAAATCAAACTGCAAATGTATAATCCAGAAACGTATAAGCCCAGGCCCCAGGGATTTAGAGCTGGTGAAGAGGGCAACACTATAACTTGTCGTCTTGTTTCCTCAAAGATTGCCAAGTTTTGTGGGCACACAAACACCCCCCCCCCACACACACACACACACCCTTCATCTCAGCCCTGTCCTCAAAAGATCCCGCATGGGACTTTGCAGAACAACACTCCTTTTTGCAATGTCCTGGGGCCATATGAGAGAGAGAGAGAGAGAGAGAGAGAGAGAATATGTCCCCACACACGCTCATCGCTGCTGTGTGTTGGCTACCATCCTCCACCCCAGAAGTGGCCGCATTTCACCAATGCAGCGTGTTATTATTTACATTAAATACCTGTTGTCAGTTATCTAGCATATATTTTAGTTACATTAAATACCTGTTGTCAGTTATCTAGCATATATCTTAGAAACCTCAGAGGGGTAGCCGAGTTAGTCTGTAATTTTAAAAACAAGGAGTAGCCCTGTATCACCTTGGAGAGGAACAAATATATATACACACACACACACACACACACACACAGTGTCATGAGAATTAGTGTGCAAAACCCGCTTCGTCAGATGAGAAGAGCCCAAGAAAACTCAAGATCCTATATTTGTTAAGTCTCTAAAGTGACACAGGACTACTCGTTATATTTCACAGAGTTTGTCTGTCTGATCAAAAACTCTCCTAAACAGTAAAAGCTAGAACCACCAAATTCAGCATACAGCTTCCTGTTATAACTGAAAGCAATATAAGGGTTTGGTTGTGCCAGGAACATGGGACGTGCCTGGAATGGGATTGCTTGTCACAGAACCAAACAGAAAGAGTCAGAATCACCAAAGCAGGCAGAGTCCTCAAAGTGGTCAGCACTGAACGAATGTTGAAAGAGGCTGAATCAAGATGAGCCAGAAACACAGGCTAAAATCTCAAAGAGGATGGCTTCTTAATAAGCCTTACAGAAAAGAGAGAAAACGGAGACATGTGGAGTAGTGCTCTGTTTTGGCACAGCTATGTTAAAGCTTATGGTTTGAAAAGCAGAAGAAAATGTTATCGGAAGCCAAATTGACTACAGCCCTTTTTGGTTAAAACATAGCGAATGATAAGAGTTTATAGGGATGAAGGGGAAAAAATGCACTCAATGGAATTCCCATTTTTAAAAAAAAAACCCTCTCCCCGCAAAAAAAAAAAAAAAAGATAAATGTAACAGTCCCTTTTTTAAAAAAACATTTGAACTAAAAGTGAACTGCATGAGAAGAACACTATTTTTGAAAAATACAATCGTTTCAAAAAAGCATGCACACTTTCCTTTTATTTCCCCCCGCCCCTCCAAAAAAGGTTTTTAATTAAGGACCCAAGGAAAGCTGGGTAAACCTGCTAGTCCTTGTATGAGCTAGTGCTAGTACCAGTAGGGTAAAACAAAAGGAAAAACTATGTAGCACTCTAAAGACTAACAAGATGGTTTGATCACCTGTTAAAGCATCTTGTTAGCCTTTAAAGTGCTCCGTAGTTTTTCCTTTTGTTTTAGCAAACACTAACACGGCTACCTCTCTATTACTATACCAGTAGGCGACACTTTTACAGTAGAACTGCATCCTTATAGGGGTTGTACTGTGTTAACTATACCCTCTGAAAATAGCTCCAGCTAAAGCTAAGAATTAGACACGTTTGTGGAAGACAGGCCCCTCAGTAGCTATTAGCCAGGATAGACACTCAGTGTGTTCCTAAACCTCTGATGGCCACAAACTGGAACTAAAGAGCAGGAGATGGATCCCTCAGTAATTGCCCTGTTCTGTTCAGTCCCTCCGGGGCACCTGGCACCGGCCACTGTTGGAATACAGGACACTGGACTAGATGGACTTTGGCCTGCCCAGCATGGCAGGTCTTATGTAAAGTGCTTCAAATTCCTGCGTGTAAGAGCAGCCCTCAGCTTTGCCAGGACAGCAGGCTGAGACACACCCAAGCATGGACCAAACTGTTCGGGGTCAGCAAGCTGATCATTCCTTGCAAGGTTTCCCCGGGGGTGGAGAGAACAGCCGGCAGCAAAGAGCTAAACATCCTAACCACGAGGCCTAAGGGCAGCGAGTCCAAAGAGGTGGGGCAGAAAAAAAAATCCTTTAAAGCACCAAGCGTCAGAGGAAGCATGGCTCAGCCGTCACTGGGCAAGTCACTTGGCCTCTCTGTGCCTCAGTGTCCCCAGTTGTACCACTGGGTTAATTGCCCTGCATTACAGGGCGGCTGGGACACTAATATAGTTAAGCATTCCCATACCGCCACAATGGATAGTAAAGCTTTAGTCCTCACTGACAGGTACCTATACAGATTTCATAATCCCTAGCTCTGCCCAGGAGTAGATCTCAAAGCCCTTAGGAAGGACATCAGTATCATTATCCCCATTTAACCTATGGGGAAACTGAGGCACGGAGCAAGAAAGCGACTTGAAGGTCGCCCAGCAGAGCCAGCATCAGCACCTGGGTCTCTGGCAGCCCAATCCCGTGCATTGCCTAATACAGCAGATTGCTTCCCATTGGCACTTTGAACTCTGATTTAACTCAGCTGTTCTCCAAGCAAAATTTTGTCCAATATCTGTGCGCCCCCCTCCCAGCGCTCTGCTTTCATCGAGTGACTCTGCCCACAAAACAGATATTAGACAGGATCACAAAGAAAAAACAGTTTCTTGCCATTTCAACTAGAAAGGACACTGTCTCAACGACTTGATTACCTGCATCCTGCTTCAAAGGCCTTTTAAGACTGCACTTGAAAGAGAATCCTCTGAACTGTCATTCATGCTCAAATTCGACACTTTACACCTAAGTTTGAATAAAGACTCTAATTATCTTACCCATTACAAAGATAGCTTCCCCAATTATCACCTCTAATATCATTAGCTCACAGACATTTACCTCCTCCCCCCCTCCCCCTTCTGTTCTGAAATTTGATTTGTCCTTTTCATATGTGTTCATTTTTTAAAATTGTATCCTTTGGGATATATAGTGATAGAAATGGAGCCGTGTTAGTCTGGTGTAGCTGAGACAAAATACAGGACTATGTAGCACTTTAAAGACTAACAAGATGGTTTATTAGAAAAAAACATCTAATAAACCATCTTGTTAGTCTTTAAAGTGCTACATAGTCCTGTTTCTTGTTCCTCCTCCAAGTCATCCTTCATTATTTCCTTGCGCCTCCCCCACGTGTCTGTCTCCACCCGTGGTCATTTGTCTGCTCCTTAAGGGGTCCCCTGTTGGCGGGCAGGGGCTGTCTGTGCAGCGCCGAGCACGGAATGGGGAGAGCCGGGCCTGCGCCCGGGCTACAAGCAACAAGAGAGGTCTGTTCGAGTGCCTGAGTCTGCTGGCTCTCCTGCCAGGGCGCTTTCTTGGCTCCTCCGCGCATATTTTCGCTTGGCGGTGAGGAATGCGGGGAGCCGCAGGCGTCCAAGGCAAACTTTCTCTGCCGTGCGCGCCCCGCCAGCTGGCCCTTTCTAGCCCCAAGGAAATCCCCAAGCAAACACAGGGGAGGGGGGAGCCGCTGGAGGGTTCAGGTCTCTGGGGAGGGCGCAAGAACAAAGCCCCTTTGCGCACCAGGCTCCAGTCGCCTGGTTACCAGCGCGGCGGACAGCGAGAACCAGGCTCCAAAACACAAGGGGGGCCGGGCGGTGACTCATGAGCGGGGAAAGCGGCCCGGCCCCGGCTCCCGAGCCCAAGCAAACACAGGGGAGGGGGGAGCCGCTGGAGGGTTCAGGTCTCTGGGGAGGGCGCAAGAACAAAGCCCCTTTGCGCACCAGGCTCCAGTCGCCTGGTTACCAGCGCGGCGGACAGCGAGAACCAGGCTCCAAAACACAAGGGGGGCCGGGCGGTGACTCATGAGCGGGGAAAGCGGCCCGGCCCCGGCTCCCGAGCCCAGGACAGAATGTACCGAGCAGCGCAGCTCAGTGCTCCCGCGGCGGAGGCTGGGCTCGGCCGCCAAACGCGCCCCCGCGGG